CATTGTAAACACTCGTACTTGTAAGTTGTAACTTTATTATTAGGCCTATACATACGATTGTTAACAACCAATTTATGGAGGTCATTAAATTCTAAGAACAGGTTCGCATGAACCGGTGCGAACCGGCTGAATCCCACCACTGCCTTTCACTCTGAACTTATTATAAGGTTTTTTAACTCTTAAAAAAAAGTCTGAAACCAATACCTAAGGAACTATACAAAAAATGCTGTGTTGAACATATATAAGAGGCCTAATACTAATGTTTTATGACAAGTAAAATTAATTAGTAACATCACATAACTGTATCCAAATACAAATATTTTCATCATTATTTCACCCATGAACAAGCAATATACCAAGTACCATCACATTGTATCCATCAGTGGATACAATAATCATTAGTTTGACGGGTGGCTGCAGCTTATGCCTCTAGAGTCTATACTTAACACTTTTTTTTTTATATACACGTCATTTAAAATTATGTTGGTAACATTGTTATTTTCTTCGGCTCAAAGATCCTGTGCAAGAAGACCGGTATGGTTAGGTATCAATTGTCGGTGGCTAAAATGCACATATACGAGATACGTAGGAAGAAATTCACTCACCAGAAATGAAGAAACCAAAGTGAATTGCTCTCTTCATAACAAAAGTATTTTCCAAATACAGAATTATAAATAGAATTCTGTTGGATAAGAACCCTCAAACATTTTCACACACACACACACACACACACACATGGTTATTCATTGAACATAGAATCCTGTATGAAAAGTCATCAAATTGATATTTGCTCTGTCCAGTCAGATTAAAATATTCACCATTGGTTAGCTTGTTTTTGCTGCTATACATGTTCTCCAAAAGATCAATTATATTTATTCTATTACAATTGGTTTAGGCTTTATCATTACACCTATTATGTGGCACAAGCTGGTTGCAAACTGCTTTCTGCTTAGATGACTTGTAGCACTGGATTCTAGCAGCAATCATGTTGCAAGTGGTTAGTTAAGTATGTTTCAAGCACATAAAAGATTTGGCATGACTGTTGTTCATTGATCTGATGATCAATTTTAAACACTTAGGACTTGTAAGTTTGGTTTACTTGAAGATCCACCATGTGCAGAATGTGAAGGAGGAGCAAAGCTTGGATCGCTTCTATCAGTTTTACTGTCAGATGAAGGAAAAGTCATTAGGTGCATGTCATTTGGAATAATAGTATTGTTTGTGGCATTTAATGAAAATGATACCATCTTCAACTGGAGTTTTTCTCTCCCTCAAAGATATCTTCATATATCTCCAATACATGGGCCTGATATGCACCTTCTCATTTTAGGTACTCTTCTCTCAAACTACAACACATATGTATTCTTTAACCATAACTGAATGATGTCTTGCTAACATTAATTTATTGTGACTTATAAAACACTCTGTAGTCAGTGTGGCAACTTTATTAGTTCTGTAACTACAAAAGTGACATAATTTCATTAAATAAATAATTTGTAGTGTGTAACCGTGAAATTGGCTATTCTAAGCAATATTCACTATCATTATGTGATAATAAAGATTTACATAAGATTTGTAAAAAATTGTTCTTTGGTAAAATTTTGTGTGTTGTACACTTGCATCATAAAATAAAAGGTTTAAACACTTCAAAATATGGTCCAAGCTGCATTTTGACAGTTTATCATAAACAATAGCTTTATGTTATCTTTAAACAATATCTTAATATTTAATCACATCCCATAATGATAAATAACATACTAAAGACAAGTTTTTATAGAGACGAAGAATTAAAACATAATTTAAAATAGGAAAAAATTACCTTACATGGAACAAAATTGCACAAATACAGCTATCAAGAAGTTTGTACATATGAAAAAAATAATTATATAATAGACAAGTTCATTTATGCAGGTGAAACAAAATCCATGGTCAGTATTTATTTTTATACTGTCAATTGTAAATAAAACTCCCATTTTTATAAACCCTTGTTCTTTCAAATATAGTTTTTTAGAATATTTTCTGGTTAAAATAATGACAAAACTTAACTGTTCTTTAATCTGTTGATCTCTTTTTTTTTTTCATCTTTTGGGATTATGTTTTGTAAGCAGCATGTTGTAGTTTCTACACTAAAACTTTAAAATATTAACTTGCTTATAACATAATAAATAGTGTTACAATTAATGCTGTTGAATAGCAAAACTTTCTAAGTATAATTCTATTATAATCTCTTCGTTTTTAAAGATCTGAGATTGAAGATCATTGGGAAATGAGACAACATCATAGAAGCTTAATAGAAGAAGAATTTCAGAATTTAGACAATGTTGATATTACCTCAGAAGACTTCCATTCTCTGCCCCCTGAAGTTCGACATGAGATTTTAATATCTTTGAAAGAAAGGAGAAGACAAGGGTGGAGCCGCCGTGAAGAATTGCCTAATGTAAGAACCGGTTAGAATGAAATTCATACAACAAATATTGTTTTAGATTTACATATGATACTGTAAGCATTATGTCAGTTCAGATTCTTGCCTTTTTATTTTGTTTGTAATGTCATTTATTAACCCTTTCAGAACCTGAAAAATGTCAGTAATATCTCTTGATTTTTTTTTTCCTTCTCACAGTGGAAATACTTTATAGTACCTAGTTTCTGCTTACAAAAATTAATTTTAATATTTCTAAAAAATTTTATTGTGATATGCTATTTTTGGAAAAATATTAACAATTCTATCTTTCATCTTAGAATTTAATTTTTTCAATTATTGATCAGATATTCATTGATATTATTCTTCTCAAGATCATTTTATATGTGATAAATGTGTAATTTGTTTTTAATAAGTAATATGTTCTTTATTTGTGTGTATTATTTTGAATGTGATAATCTCAACAAAATATTCAATAAAAAAAGGACTTGTGTGATCCAAATATTTTGCCATTGCTTACTGTTACTTATCTAATGTTTTCTCATAGATTCTGTAGTTTTCAAATGGATATAATTTAACTCAAAAACATTATCAGAAATGAAAAGATTGTCAAAGTAAATTATAAAAAAAATTCCCAGATCCATGACTTGTTCCTAAGTGCTTTGCATTAAGATCCTTTGTTCAATTCTGTGGGACCTCCTGTTAGCTAACATGTCAGCGAACTACAAATTACTGCTACAACCACTTTATTTATTCTATATTAACAAAGATAGATTAGAATACTTTCCTTATAAATATTGTTAGCTGTTAGCTCTCACTATTTTCAAAGCTGAGCTTCATTGTAATTGTTCAAACCACATGCCTTATAATCATGAAGGGATGGTGATGAAAGAATGTAGTAATAAAACCATTGAAGGAAAGTGATTTGAAGAACAAGACATGGATCATTATATTTCCAAGGGATGATAGTTTCTTAGTAAATTTAAATCTATATTTCACATCAACATTTTCGTTATTTGATTATTATTTCAAAGTGTTCTAAATTTAAATACACTTATCTTTGTAAAATATGTTGCTAAATTTTGAATAATTACACATTTATACATTTATGGTAAATTTGTGTTTAATACATGCATTGCTTTAAACAGAAAATAAAGATTCTCAAAAGAAACAAAATGACATGGTATTATACTATTTCCCTTTATCTTATGTCTTCCTCCCTTCTTTCCCTATAAACAAAGGTTTGTCATTTTTTTATGATCATAACCAGGCTTGTCATGTGAGAATGACATGTATGTGAAGTGCTCTCAGTTGCTGTACCTCAAGTGTCTATTGATCAGTACTTTGGTAGTCTCTTGGTTCTCTTCATCCTTACTTGACTCTCAAATGTTTCTTATATTTCCTTAATGTTTCTTTTCTTTACACTGAGTTCTTGGTTCTGTGTCAAATTTTCTTAGCCTAATTGGATTTTTGTACTGTGAGTTTTCATTTGCTCTTTGTACTAACACTATTGCACTTTATAATTTTCTTTATTTCATTAATCCTACAATCATTCAGTTTAATATCAGTTCTGATTCCAAGGTTCCCCAGCCTTTAGACTTTGTTAGGTTTCTTTATATCTTAATATTTTCAAGACCAGAAAACATCTTTCAGATGGCAAGTGCACAACTGCATACAAATTTGAAATTTTAAGTAAATATAATAATTCTAACATTTTCAACAATTTCTTAAGATATATTTCAAAGTCCATATATTGTCCTTTTGTAACATAATGTAATTTGCAAAGAAAAATTAAAAAAACAGATCCAAGCAATTCTGCCTACAAACAACACATTTATAGATATATATATAATTTTTCTAACCATCCAAAAGTACAAATTTAAATTGTTAAGAAACAATCATCCCTTAAAAATAGAATTATTCATGTTTTTGTTTCTCACATGATTTTCTTTCTGCTTCTCTTACTACAATCTTCTGTTCACACCCCTTTGTTAACTCACAGCATGTGATCTGAACAGCTAATGAACCTAAGCTTTAAAAATATTTACAGACAGAGTTCAAATGCAATTGAATAGAACAGATCATAAACTATTCACATCATTATAGAGTGAATAAAGTGGTATGAGAAGTAAATTATTGTTTTATGACAAATCATAGCTCATGCTGAGAATATCTAATGGAAATTATACTTGTTTGAAAGCTGCAGAAATTTTCTTTTATGAAAAGACATCAGATAAGCTTAGTTAGGTTTAGCTAGTATGGTAAGTGATGGCAAAATATTCCATTTACTCAAATCCTTCTCTGTTGAATATTATAGTTAAGTTTATCAAATCAAATCACACATCCTCGGTGACTGATAAATCTTTGTCAGCTTTTTTGCTGTGTTTTTTACAATTCATAGCTGGAGATAGTGACCACTGTAGTTGGTAAAATAAAGTACCAAAAGAAATATGATAATGAAAAACAATCAAGTTGCATTGGACTGGATACTTAAAATGGAAATTTCTGATCAAAAGTAGAAAAACTGAAATTCTAAGATGAAAGGAATTATTTTAAATAGTTTTCTCAAAACAGTGTTTCGTAACAAGATTTTGGAAACTTTACAATTTAAAAAAATTATAGAAAACTAAATAAAATTATATGGTTATTTTAAAGTCAAAACTAAATACTATTTAGTAAGTTTCTACTAAGTTTCATACAGTTTGGTGAAATATTTTCTCTGTGAGATAAAAAAAAATGGCAAGTGTCACTGACACTTCTCTAGTCTTGAAAGGGTTGATAAGAAAGCCCTTTTCTCCACTAGGATTACATCTTCAGGATTATCTCAGAGTTTCATTGTTTTTAAGCTGAAATATCCAATTTGTTACTGAACATAGCTTGGAAAATTATATGTTTAGGGGCAAGAATGGGCTTGAGTGTAGGTTAAGCAACCGGTTCCAAGCACTTGCTAGTAATGAGGGGGAGCAGGTAGGGGAACAGATGGGATAACAAGGGTTGATAGTGTAAAGGATAGGGAAGTTATAGTTGTAGGTGACTAGCTAGGCATGTAGATAGAGTAGTATGTGGAGTAAATAATATGCTTATGCTATCCAGGAGCAGGGGTACAGGATATAACTGATAGAACCAGAGAGATAGTTAAGGATGCTAGTAGCCATGCAATTTTTGTGGTACATGTTGGGGATAATGATGTAAGGAAAGATGAATCCGAGGAGCTTATTGATAAGTATATAACATTGATGAGGGCATTTAAGGAGAGGGGCTATAGGTTGATTTTGTCAGGGATATTGCCAAGAATAAATTGTGGGGATGAGATACTAAATAGGTCACTAAGATTGAATGCCAGGCTTAGATCAATGAGCAAATAGATTGGTTGGATTTGTGGGATAATTTTAGTGGGAAAGTTAATCTTTTTGGAATAGATGGCTTTCACTTAAACAAAGTAGGGGCTAGCATGTTAACAAGGGCTATTAACTTAGCTGTAGTGGTTGATTGAAACTAGGGCTAGACAGAGGTGAGGGCTATGATATTAGTAAAATAGGAAATATAATTGACAGGAAAACATGTACAACAGGCATAAAACATGAACGTATTTTAAAATTTATGATTAATTGTTACTATTGTTATGTTAGGAGTATTAGAAATAAAATTTATGAGTTCAAACAAAACAGAATTTTGATATTATGGGTATCACTGAGACTTGGTTGGATTTGAACAATTTTGATGAGAGAATTTTTTTTGAAATACCAGGCTACAGATTATTTACTAGAGATGGAGTATTGAAAAAGAGAGGAGGAATAGCTTTATATGTGAGGAGTGAATTGCATCCTGTTGACTTAGAGCATATTAAAGAAAATAACCCAGAGTTTGAGTCAGTATGGGTTAGTGTTAGTGGATATAAAGGGAAAAATATTATAAGTGGGAGTTTTTATAGACCACCATGTCAGAATGTCTGTGGTTGA